AGATACTGTTATGCTTCATAGGTCACAGTTGATACTCTGATAGGACATTTACTGTCAGACTATATTTGTTTGGACCAAGGGGAATACCTGGATTGCAGTGGGCTCTCCTCATCTGTAGGATCTGCTGTTCTTGTCTGTTTTTGTCTTTGGGATATGACCTGTATTTGCTAGGTTCGGATGCAGGGGACTGAAAAAGCAGGGTGAGACTCTCCCAGTCTATAATATTTAAAAGAGGGTAATTTTAAAGAATTTATTTCTGTTTTTTGATTGTGAATTTACATTTTTGGAGACGGAATCAGAGAAGTGATTTCTCTCTCAGTAAAAAAAAAAAGCCAATTGCTGTAAGCAACTGAGGCTAATTAAGTTAAGTACCTGCTGCAAGCCACTTGGCAATGGGGATTTTTTGGTTAGTTCAGAGTTGGATAGTTGTACTTTGCCTATATCTCTGTAGCTTTTGTGTGTTTGCATGTCTAGCTGGCATGAAGTTATGTTTACATAAGAAGTGTGTGGACACCTGTTTCTAAACTCCAAGTCAGTTGGGAAGATCATTAGGATATATTATGTATATATGGTGGTCAAAGGATATTTACACACATCTATGTATATGTATAAATGGATTTTACGTATTTATATAACATATGTGGATTAATGTGTGTGTAACATACACACCTCTATCTGTTTATAATAATTGTTAGTTGTAAATAAATCTTGGATATCAAATCCTTATCTGAGAAATTTAATACAAAAATTTTTTCCCATTCAAATACTCCCATTCAAAACCTACATGCATTAATTTTGTTTGTGCAAAAGCTTTTCAATTTCATGTAACCAAATTCATCTACTTGTAACTGCCTCTGCCTCATTTCCTTAATATCACATTTGCTAGAACAATTTATGGAATAGCAATAAAAATGTAAATACAGACAACTCTGAAAGACTAAAGAATTATCACCAATGCAATGACCAAGAATGATTGCAGAGGAATAATCATGAAACACACAACTTACCTCCTGAGAGAGTGCAAGCTGAAACATATTTTTGGACATAGCCAATGTGGGAGTTCATTTTCACTTGACTATGAATGTTACAAGGGTTTTGGTTTTCTTCTTTTTTCAATGTGGAAGGAGATGTTAAAAGGTAGAGAAGATGGATTTTTTTTTAATTGAAAAAGATAAAATATAATTTTAAAATATATCCTACCCACAGTTGTGAAAGAGATATGATCTGATTCTCTTCTAATTTTCTTTTATGGTATGTCCTTAATATTCATGTCCCATATCCATTTTGAATTTATTGTGAAATATTGGTCTATGCCTGATTTCTGCAAAACTGCTTTCCAATCTTCCCAGAAGTTTTTTTTTAATCAAATAGGAAGATATTTTCTAGTTAAATTAGTTTTGGGGTTTAGCAAATACTGGGTTATTGATTCCCATTTTTTTCTGATTTTCCCTAGTCTGATCTGTTGAGGATGTTTTTGTTGTTAATGTGATTATGTTGACTATTTCCCTAATGCTGAACTATATACGCTGATAACATTGTCATAATGAATGAATTGCTATAATCTGTTTGACCGAATTTTATTTCATTTTTAAGGTCAATATTCATTAATGATATTGATCTTTGGTTCTGTTCTTTTCCTTTATCCTTCCCTCATTTAGTATTACGACTATATTTGTCTCATAAAAGAAGTCTCGCAAAATGCTTTGTTTCTCAATTTTTGAGAAAAATTTGTGTAGTATTTTTTTTTCAGTTTGATAGAATTCTCCTGTGAATCCATCAGGATGCAGAGGTCTCCCTGCTCCCTTCACTCCCTCCCATTGGCAGTTACTTTACAGTTAGTTTTTGTTCCATTTCTGAGATTGGATTATTGAATATTTCTATTTCGTCATCTTTTAGTTTGGTGCTTTTTTTGATGGTATGCCTTGATTTATTTTGGCTTCTCCATTTTCTTAGCATATAAAGTTCTTATCATTCTTTTTATTTCTTATGGATTTGCTGTGATTTCACCTTGTTTATCTATTTCACTGATTTGATTTTCTGCCCCCTTCTTAAGCAAGATGGTTAAAGTTTTTCTGCTGTGTTAGTATATTCAAGGAATCTGTTTTTACTTTTTCTCATTTCTACAGCATTTTTTAAGTTTCTAATTTATCCATTTCTCCTTGAATTTTCAGCATTTCTTCTTTTCTGTTTATTTTGGGTTTATTTATTTGTTGGCCCTCTAAATGATCATTTATGTAGGGTTATTTTATATCCTGCAACTTTGCAGAAATTATGAATTCTTCAATTAATTTTTATTGACTCTCTAGGCTTCTTTAAATCATGAAGCAGCCCCCTTTTGCACTGAACTCTCCCTTCCTCTGGGGTTTCAGGACTGTTCCTCCTAACTTTTGGTCCTGCTTTAGTCTCTTAGCCCTCACTTGAGGGCTTAGGGGAGCAATTCCACTGCTGAATCTCTAACAATATGAAAGTAAAGAAAAAAGAGGGAAAGGGGGTAAAACAGTAGCCTGTGTATAAAGAGTTAAAATTATGGCCATATAATTTTTGTAAAAATAGAATTTGAATACTCCAGAACTTACAAATTTAGACAGATAAATCACAAATTCAAACAGTCCCTCTTAGCCCAATCAGGGACATTTCTTAAAATGACCTGAGGATAAATCAAAGTAAATTCACTGATCTTCAGCTGACAGAGACCTACCTCAGGCACAGAGAATTTGGGTACAGGAAACAAAGGAAGTCCAACAACCAGGGCTGGTGTTCATGGGGGAGTCATCAGCAAAAATGTCTTGCTTTGTACTTTTTTTTTGGGTAGTGTTGGGGAAAGTCCCTTGCAGGGGCTGGCCTAAAGAGGTTGAGATCCATGCATTACTATCCCATCTCAAGTCAACAATAATGAAGAGGCTATAATTGCCCAGTCTGCAAGAAAAACCACTGAAGCAAAGCTCTGAGCCAATGGTACTTTGTTAAAGGATCCATGGTCACCTCTAATGAAGTGAATCTCAGCTCTTCCTCACTATGTAAGATGCCCCTTCTTCCAGGGACTTATTTTTAAGGACTCAAAACCAGGTTTGAGACTTGAACATTCCAGAGGAGCTGCACAAAATACAGAATCCCATTGGTTGATAGACTTTATTATGAGGGTCAAAAATATGATGCATCAGCTAGAAATGGTATGTCACCAGGGGATCTCTCAGCTTAAGCAAAGCATGGGGCATCTCCACTAACTAAAGTGGTCATAAAGTCATCATAAAATGGTCACCAGCTCATGTTGGACAAGAGGGAATGGAGTAATGGTTGGATTGGTTAGCCTTTGAGGTCCTTTAGAACTTCAAGATTACCTAATTCTTTGATTCTATCACTCTCAGTGTTGAACTTTTATATTACGGAGCACAGAGCTGCTCTTAAGAGACTGAGGCAGTTATAATCTTTATTTTAATGTGATGTTCCCAAAGACCTTACAGAATAGCTCAAATTTCGTTTGGAAGGGCAGAAAATGTTGGGGAGGCAAGGAAGAGAAAGAAGATTGAAAGAAAAGTGAAGAGTCATTAAGGAAAGAGAAGAGTGGTGAGTAATACTGAGAAAAAGAGGAAAGAAACATATGTATTAATAAAATATATGTGCAAAAGACTGCTGGTCCTTAAGATCACAGCTTTAGAAGTAGAAAGGACCCTCAGATGCTATCTAGCCCAAACCCTCTCATTTTTGTAGATAATTAGAGAAGCATCCATTTAGACTTGAAAGGTACCTCAGATGTCATTTAGTACAAATCTCTCATTTGACAGAAAAATCCTAAGAACACAGATTGATAGCTGGAAGCAATCTTGAAAGCTTTGAGTTCAACCCCCTAATTTGACCAATGAGGAAAGTAAGGCACTAAGAGGTTAAAGGACATGTGTAGAGTCACATGGCTGGTAAGGATCTAAGGATTTCTGACTCACCATGACTGAGGGTCCATGGAATAGCCCCAATGAAGAGGCCTAGACCTTGAAACTGGAAGCAAAAATGGAAAACATATACTTACCACCATATTAGACAATTAAAGAACTCATTTTTAAATAAAAATTTTAATAAAACAAATTAATGGAACATAGGAACATATAGTGATACATATATGATTATATCAAGATGCCTACTATATACATTGAAATTTATAAAAATTAAATATTTGCAGAGTTCAATCACTTACAGCATGAGATGGCAAAGAGTGAAAACTGCTCATCAAGAAATAGGCCCAGAAACCTTTTAGAGAAATTCCTTTGGGCCAGTTCACAAAGGAATCAAGTCTCTGTAACTGCATTTGGCATTTTATCCTGTTGATCCAGTCAGCTTGCTTATGGAATATCTACTCTAGAAAGTCTTCAACAATATACGTGGCAAAGTAAAAATCTTACAATTGTAAAAGAACAAGCTGTATATAAAATTCCCAATGGGAGAGAAAGGCTGATTTCTCTCAACTATTTCATTTACTTAAACTAGAAATTCTGTTGACAATGTCAAGGTGCTAAGGCCCGTCAATACATGTAGATGTTCCAGGTCAAAGACTCCCAACACTGATACTACTGAGTACAAAGCAACAACTAGTAATTAAACGACATGTGTCTAGGGAAAATGAGTATAGTTCATTCTTTTTTAAATTTTTTTTATCAATTTATTTTGATTTATCAACAATCACTTCCATAGGCTTTTGAGTTTTAAATTTTTCTCCCCTTCCCTCCTCCAGACAGCGAGCAATCTGAGAGAGGCTATACATATACATTGCTATTAAACATATTTTCACCTTAGTGATGTTGTAAAGAAGAATTAGAACCAATAGGAGGAAACACCAGAAAAAAGAAACAAAACAAAACAGAAGAAAAAAATAGCAAATTGTGTGCTTCAATCTGCATTCAAACTCCATAGTTCTTTCTTTGGATGTGGGTAGCATTTTCCATCATGTGACTTTTGGAGCTGTCTTAGATCCTTGCATTGCTGAAAAGGGCTAAGTCTATCAACATTAGTCATCGCACAACATGGCTGTTACTGTGTATAACATTCTCCTGACTCTGCTCACTTCACTCAGCATCAGTGGTATGATTCACTCTTGAAGATAATCAAGAATGCCCCCAAAGTGAAAATCAGACCAATTGTTTGCAGGAAAATGGGCAACCAGGTCCTGGCAGAAATCAAATTCTATGGGGTAATGAATTTGAATTCATTGAATTCATCTGAATACAGACGACTTACTGGATGCTTCAAGTCTGATCCAGGGTGAGGTCAGATTTCTACTCTTGGTCAGAAATTTGCAGGTTTCTGACTAGCATTAGGGCTTGAGCAACACAACTCTGGGCTTGCCCTCCTTTTACAAGGCCTAGTAGGTTTCTCCTGGCCCAGTAACCATCAGCTAGCTGGAAGATTCTACATGTTCATAGCAAGCTGCCCCTTGGTCTGAGCCCCCTGCCCTGATTTTCCCACTATAGTCTCTAGAATGGGTTAGGGGCAAAATCTGAGACTCTGCTGTGCTTCAGGAGTCAGAATCCCACAGCTGCTACTTCCTTCGCTTCCTGCTCCTTGTCCGGTATGTATAACCTAACACCCATTACTCCTCTTTGTCCTGATCCACCCTGATCCACTAGCTGCAATTCCCCTTCTCAGTCTGCACTGAATCTATGACCCAGCTCTGGGTAATGTGACACAGCTACCACAGTCTGCACCTGTGACTGCTTCCTGCTGAGCATCAGGCCCATAGGGACCAGACCTGGGACCCAGGAATTCTTCTTGCTTTAGGACACAGCTCCAGTCCTCAGTTCAGTTCCCAAGTCGCACAGCTCCATACACCTCTCTACAGACATCTGTCTCCTTATGTTGACCTAGAGGTGAAAAAAATTTACTGAATTTTCCCTGGATTTCCTGATCAAGAATTGGTCTGGTGTATTTTCTAGGTCTTGATGGACTAGTTTTGAAGGGGAGCTGGGCTACATTACTTCTTCCTATTCCACCATTTTGGATTGGTCTCTTACCCTTTTTGACTAGTAGTATTGGTTTTAAGTTTTGAATATGGGGACATTTCCATATTTCAATGACATCTTCAATTGTAGTTCACAAAAATAAATGTTGGAAGGGAGGAGGATATAAGGTTTAGTGCTGCAGTTGAAAGAGTGCTGGAACAAAAGTCAGGACGACTGAGTTAGGGTTTAAAATTAGTCTAGTATTTGTTGCCTGAAACTAAGTGGGGCACCTCACAGGACAGCATGAAATGAAGAGATGTGAGCCAGGCAGGTCAGTGAAGACTGAGCCGTTTATTCATCTGAGGGTTACAGCATATATAGAAAAACCTAACATAACTTCAAAGAGTCATTCCCGTGAGACACTCCCCATACATCTTCTGTATACATGACAACATATCTTTCCTTGTTATCAGGGTTCCTAGATAGGGCAGTATATTCCCAGATCTTCCCTGGCACCACCTTATCAGAAGGATGGTATAGAAATCTAAGGGTTCAAAGAGCAGGAAGGAATGTTTCAAGAGCCTCCCTTGCACGGGAGATTGGACAGCCAGCTTCCTAAGAATGTGAGCCCTAAAACTCTGTCCTGGATCTTCAACCCAGATCAGACTCTTTAGGGCTGGCCCTCAACAAGTATTTAATATTTTAAAAAAGAGATATGGAAATCAAGATTTAATCTAATTCACCAAAGGAGTTTTAATGGTAAAAGCGGGGAAAGCAAGGAAAGATGGAAATGAAATGTTAGAATTATTCAGATGATAGGATAATTTCAACTCCATAGATAAGTATTTACTTAGTATATGTTGAGTCTACTATGACAAGGCATGGAGAGCGTTACAACCTAACTTGCAAGTGTAATAGGAAGAAAGTCCTTTGTTACTTGTAAAGCACTCTAAAAACCTAATCTTTTGTTATCTTCTTGCCCAGGATTCTTTCCCAAAATCATTCTGAGAAACTATTCGATGAAGTAGCAGCCCCATTCTTCTTATTCCTCACCCAATGCCACCTTGTTTGTGGCAGGTACTCTTAATTAACTACCGAAATCTCTCCAGTCCCTTTCTGCTTTCTTTCTTCCATTGTCTAAATGATATGGATGATGATATTTTAGTCCGGGGGGGGGGCGGTTGATGATGGAAACTCATCCCCTCCCTACTGGTTCAGCTAGTTAATGAAACAGTAATATCTCAAAGTGACTACACCACAGGAAGCAATATGGAGCACTGGGAAAATTGCAGTACCTGGAGTCAGAGGACCTGGTGGGTTAGACTTTGAGCTCTGCTACATACTACTTTGTGTCACCCTGGGCAAATTATTTAATCTCAGGAGACCCCAATATCTATGTCTATAAATGATAAGGTACCTTCCAGCTCTGTATCTACTATCCTAGGATATCCTGGATTCATTCTCCCTCACCCCACATATCCAATCCATTGCCAAATTTTGACATAGCTGCTTTCACATCTCTCACATCTAATTCATTCTCTCCACTCAGGATCTACCTTAGTTCAGTCCTTTATTACCTCTTGACTAGATTATTGCACTAGCTTCCTAATTCGTCTCCCTGCCTCAAGTTCCTCACCACTCCAGCCCACTCTCTGGAATGCTGCCAAAGCAATTTTCCTTAATCATGGATCCAACCACATGACTCCCCTGTTGACTCCCTATTGCCTCTAAGATATAAACTTCTCTTTTTACCATTTAAAGACCTACACAACCTGTTCCCACCTATCTTTCCAAACTCACTGTCCCCTCTGAGATCCAGCCAAACTTGGTCTTCTCTCTGCTCCTCATTTATAACATTACATCTCTTTTTTCTTTGTCTTCACTCTAGCCATCCCCCATGCCTGAAATGCCCTCCCTCCTTATCTCAATGTGTCTCTTTCCTCTAAGATGCAGCACAGGCACTGTCTTTTACATGAAGCTGTCCCTGATCCCTCAAAAATAGTAGTGTCCACTCTTCCCAAACACCTTCTATTTCACTGCTTTTCATGAGCATGTGTGTTTATTAAGTTATATTTGTACTGTATGTATTTTATGAGTGCTTTTTATCTCTCCTATCAACAGAATTTAAGTTGAGATTGTTTCATTCTTTGTACTTTCATCCCTAATATCTTGTATATACTAGGTGCTTAATAAATATAAATTGATAGGCTTAATCATCTAGTTCCTTTTATCCAAAAGAAAGTCACAAAATTAAAAGTATTATACCAATAGAGGAAATAAATAAGATGTTAGCCTTCCAAGTAATGACCTCTCTCCCTTTTTAGCAAATACTAAACGATTCCACAAAATATCTTTTGCTAATTGCTACAATTGCATTCTCCTACTTTAACTCCATTGTTACCCCCACCGCCCAAAAGAATCTGGTTCAAATTCTAGAAAAAAAAATATTACAAATATGGGAAAAGTCTGTCAGGAAGCATTCTATTTTAAAAGTACTACTTATACTTCAGCTATAACATTTAAAGTGTATGTGGGGGGGGAACCTACATTATGAAGCAATCAGAGAATTTCAGCTTCCAAATTCAGAGCATTCTAATATAACACTCTATAAGCACTTTGATATAGCTGTTGTTCTTCATAACAACGACCCCACAGCACAGCAAGATCCATAAATGACTTCTGAAATGCTAGATTAAGTAACGTTCATTTTTGTTTCTGTTTCAGGACACTCAAAGACCAGTTTTTAAACTATTACAAATTTTAAAAGGTTCCAAAAGAACGGAAAAGGTCATGTACTGTATTATAACAACAAAAAGATTACTAATAAATTCCCCAATAACTACACAAGCATATACCTACTTTCATGTCTCTGTAAAAAAAAAATCTTTTTAGGAATGGTTTACATATAAATCAAAGAGTATCCTTGATGAAAATTTGATAAGAACAAACTGACGATTCACCCTCTGCCTCCAACAAGTGTTCTTCAGTTTGCAGCCCAAAGCCGTGTAGACTCCTATTTTATGAGATTTTTACCATATCTGGAGAGTCTCAGAAGCCCAGAATCTCCATGCTGCAGACTACCTTCTTGCCATAAGTAGTTCTAGCTCTGAAAATCTATACCAACATTCCTGCAAAGAGTATATTAGTGAACTGCATTATGGCATTTCCCAGAATAAATTAGCACTGCCTGGCCACTAGTTCTATGTGTTGAATTTACACAAGACATGATAGTAAATGACTATAAATCTACTGTTTGAAAAACCCAAAGACTCTATTTTCTGGGATAAGAGCTCACTATTTGACAAAAACTACCAGGAAAACTGGAAAACAATATGGCAGAAATTTAGGCATAGACCAACATCTCACACCCTACACCAAGATAAGGTTGAAATGGATATAAAGGGGGAAAACCATAAGCAAATTAGGAAAGCAAGGAATAGTTTATCTGTCAGATCTACAGAGAAGGGAAGAATTTACAACCAAAAAAGATAGAGTACATTATGAAATGCAAAATGGACAATTTTGATTACATTAAATTAAAAAGGTTTTGTACAAACAAAACCAATGTAACCAAGATTAGAAGGAAAACAGAAAGCTGGGAACCAATTTTTACAACCAGTGTTTCTGATAAAGGCCTCATTTCTAAACTATATAGAGAACTGAGTGTAATTTATAAGAATATAAGTCATTCCCCAACTGATAAATAGTCAAAGGATATGAACAGGCAATTTTCAGATGAAGAAATTAAAGCTATCTATACTCATATAAAAAAATGCTCTAAGTTACCTCACACCAATCAGATTGGCTACTATGACAAAACATCAAAATGATAAATGTTGGAGATGTGGGAAAATTGGAACACAAATGCATTGTTGGTGGGGTTGTGAATTGATCCAACCACTCTGGAGAGCAATTTGGAACTATGCCCAAAGGGTAACCAAACTGCACATCCTTTGATACAGCAATACCATTACTAGGTCAGTATCCCAAAGAGATCATTAAAAAGGAAAAAGGACCACACGTACAAAAATATTTATAGCAGCTCTTTCTGTGGTGGCAAAGAATTGGAAATTGAGGGGATGCCCATCAGTTGGAGGATAGCTGAACAAGTTGTGCTATATGAATGTAATGGAATACTATTGTTTTATAAGAAATGATGAGCAGGCAGATTTCAGAAAAACCTGGAAAGACTTACATGAACTGATGCTCAGTGATGTTAGCAGAATCAGGAGAACATTGTACACAGCAGCAGCAACACTGTGTAATGATTAACTATGACAGATTTAGCTCTCAGCAATACAACGATCCAAGACAATTCCAAAAGATTCACGATAAAAAATGCTAACCACATCCAGAGAAAGAACTATAGAAGCTGAACGCAGATCGAAGAGCTTCGGAAGGACGTGCGGAGCTCGCCCTAAGCCTAGGTGAAGCGGAGGGCGTCCGCCAGCATTCCGAGGAGCCTCGGCTGTGGTTATCGTGGATTATCAATATTGCGTTAGTTGGACTGCACGTCTGAACGTCTGATTCGGGAGGACTGTTTTTCGGGCCACCATCCCACCCGAGGCACAACGGAAAACTGGGCGAAACTACCAAAGCAAAAGAAGAAAAGGGCATCCATCTTTTACATGAGAAGAGGAAATTCCAAGCGTCCAAGTTCTGAATCTATTGAGTCTGCTCCTCCATCTGGGACCGGGGGGAAGGACCGAGGCTCCCCCTGCCCTGCCCTGCCCTGCCCGCGGCAAAGCCTGCAAAGACCCCCTCTCCTAACTCCCCCTCGCCAAAGTCCTTCCAAACCTGCACAGCGGGGCGTGATCTCCGCCAGCCCCAACCCCGGTCCAAAAACTTCAAGGAGCCAACAGGGGTGGGCTTTGGTTCCTTACTTGCTGCCCCGTCGAGCTGGGGAGGGGGAAGAGAGGAAAAAGGGAAGGAGAAAAGTTGAGTCTGGTCGGTGCATGAGACAGCAAACCACCTCTGTGGAGGAGGCTCAGCCGCCGCCGTCTCCCCGCCCCGGGCCGAGCCAGCTGCTGCTGCCCAGCCCGGGCCCCGACCGCCCCCCGCCGCCGCTTCCTCCAGCACTAACAACTGTCCCAACCAGCGCAGGAGGCGCGGGGAGCGAACGGGTAGAGCAGGAAGGCCGGGCGACAGCAGCCGCTCCTCCCCCGCACAGGGCTCATCCTCCGCCCGCTCCCGCTGCTCCCGGCTCTCCTCCGCCCGTGCCCGGGCAGCTCTGACCCTGGAGCCCGCGAACCAGTCCCGCCGCCGCCGCGCCCGCCGCGCCTGGAAGGAGCCACCCGGCACTCTCGCTGCGCTCCCGGAGCGGGCCCCTTCTCCAGCCGCCGCCTAGACTTCCCCCGGGACCCTCCGCTGTCTCCCACTCCGGCCGCCGACCCTCCGTGGGCAAGTCGGCGGGTGCCCGCCCTCGAGGCAGTCCGGACCTGCTCTTCTCTACCGCACTGGATCACGGTCTCGGGGCCGCCACCGCCTCGGCTGCTACCGACGGCTCCTCCATCCCACTGGCTCTCCCGGCCATCTTCATTCCTCGTCACTGGCCATATCAGGGAGGAGGAGGGGAAGGAGAGCTAGAGCCTGGCCCTTGCCGCCTCCTCCCGCTGCTGCGGTCCTCCCCAAGTCTCGCCGGCTATTCTCATGCTGCGGATGGGAAATGGGGAAGGGCAGGGAATAGCTACTCCCCCCCACCTCTTCCTCCTCTGCAAAGTACCAAGTGTTTCCTGCTATAATAATAATAACCATCATCATCATCATCATCATCATCATCATCATCATCATCATCCACAGAGCCCTTAGAGTTGACAAAGCATTTTCCTCACCACAGACGTATTTTCCTTACTTAACAGATGAAGAACATGAGACTCAGATGTTAAATTACTTATCTAGTCACAGCTAGAATTAGAATCCAAAACTCTTGACTCCAAGTCTAATCCCCTTTCTAATTCTCTAATCTACCCTTTCCTCTGCAATCTTTCCTTTCAGTTAATTGATGCAATTAGATTAGATGGAACATTCTGTACAGGTGAATTTGTGCTTGAGCTCCCCAATTATGCAGGGCTGTATGAGGGCTTTTTGGAAAGCTTCTCTAAAGGGGCATTTTGTACTTCTTATGGCACAAGTGAAGAGCAGAGGTTTATGGCCCTCCCAGATCAGAAATCAGATTCCTGAGGGCAGAGGCAGCTACAAGGCTGCCCCCTGGTGTGAGGAATTGCAGACCAAAACTCAGGAATCGGTTTCAGAACACAATCTTTACAAAAGCACTAGAAAAAGATCCCAAACGAGATACAGAAGGGAGTTTCAGAAACTGGAGTCTTGAATGACTGTTAAAGGGCCACAGAAAAGTGATGTCAAATCCAGAGGCAGATTCTGCTCACCACAAGACATAAGCTCTGGGCTTACTTAATTATGGGTTACACCTATTACTGTTTCCACTGAGGACACGTATGTTAATTGCAAATGAAGCCACCATCTAGAGAGCTGCTTGGTGGTATAACTATATATGAAAATTGGAGTCTGATATCATCAGGCTCCAACTAGTCTGGGGGTGGGGAAGAGGGAAAGGAGGAGTAGTTTAAGTACTGAGCTGTCCAGGGCTACAAGTAATCTGAGAGGGAAAAAGAGGGAGGCACTTAAGATATAATCAGTGACTCCCCATGTACTCTGAATTCTCAGATGGGCTTTAAGTCCTCAGGTTCGTGTCCCTTCTATAATTATTTGGCAAACCCTTAAAATCCATAATCATTCCCTGATGTGTGCAGTCAGTGACGACAATGAACCAAGGTTTCTTTCTGCCAGGTTAGTGGGAACAAGGTTTACAATCCAGATTTTCCAGGGGCACCATGCTATATAAATCTTGCTTGTAATGATAGTGTAATTAAAGCTATTGTATACATAGTTTATTCATGGTGGGAGGGCGTGGAGGGAAGGTTATATGATGACTGGCTATATTAGCTAAGATACTGAGTGGCTTGACGTACCAACAATCCTTTGTAGTGATCAAGAGTAAACCCAGCTAGAAGCTCATACCAGCTTTGAAGCAGACTCTGAGCCATCTGGTAGTTGATGGACCTTCAAGAGATATCTTTGTTGAGATCTAAGAAGTTGAGACCCCTCAAAGACTGAAGTACAAGATGGAGTCATCTGGAATGAATTCACAAACTCAAGCAATCTTTAAGTCAAGATACAAAAAGTTTATTATTGTGCTTTTCAGCAGGCAAGGATTCTTATGGAACCTGTAAGAGACTGATGACGGAGCTAGAGTTTATATGGAAAAGGGCATGGGAAAAGAATGCCAGGGACACTGATGAGGTAATCTAAAGGTCCAGATGTCTTTGGGAGCTATGGATGAGAAAGTACAGGGAGTATACTGGACAGGGAGGGACACGACAGAGGTATGGATCTTTGGAGTCTGGCAGGAGGAAGAGTTCTTGGGCTGGCCAAAGACAAAACTCCTTGGGCTGGGCAAGGCACCCCTCTCCCCCTGTCTTGATGAGAGAATGTTCTGCAACAAGGGAAAGCTTTTTTTACAAGACAGGAACTTACTAAGGAATTGGGAGGCTTCCAGAGACATGATCTGAGGGCTGGAGCCTGAGCAGCCCAGCACTCTCACCCAGCTTTGTGTAGCTGCACCAGGGAGAGAAAAGGGTTGTGCTGGGGCCCATGCATGAATAACTGCTAGGCACAGTGTCCTTGGGCTGGGGAGTGGTTGTCAGAGACAGTGTTTCTGAGACTAGGGAGAAATTGGGGTCCAAGCACAAGCACCCAAGTACCCCATCATCTTCATCCTTATCTTCAGACTTCCCTAATTGTTATGGGGCTCCTGGATAAGTCTCCTGTTTTACATCATTCTGTCTTACTGTTTCAGCTCAAACTTTGAACTGTGGACTGTATTCTGATTTGCCTATCCCTGATTTGCATATCAAAGGGCCACAGCTCTGACACCTGGAATTCCTCCCTCCTCCCCCACCTTGGGGATGTTGCTCACTGACTCATTCCCCTCTAAGCCCACCTTTCTGCCCAAATTTCGTACCTTCCTTTGTTTATATGATATATAAACTCTCCCCATCCATTGCTTGGTGGGCTATCTACACAGGCTGATAGTCTCTATGTGCATGTTTTACTTCCCTGCTTAATAAAATTCTTTAATTTCACAGGCATTGCTTTCCTCTGGTTTTCTTTTCCTTAGGGAAAAGGGAGGTTTTGGATCTCCAGAACTGGCCTTTTCATTCTCCGGGTATCTTTCCCCTTTGCTGGGAGAGATTTAAATTTCCTAAAGAGAGCATCTACCTTGTTTTACAATTCCCAGGCACCTTGTAATAGCAGGATTCTACTAATCCAGGTGTTCTATCAGAAAGTGATCACCAGGTTTAGAATTTAGTCAAGTAATCTTTAAAAGAGCAACAATCTGTTGGTGTGGGCATACTGCAAGGAGGCAGAACTGAAAAGTGGAGGTGGGAATAATATGCCTGAATAGATGACAAAGGCAACAAATATGTAATACATGCTTACCAAAAAGCAAGGTACTGTGCTAGGAAATGCAGGAGCAATGCAAAGAAGAAGACATGGGCCCTGCCCTCACAAAGTGTACAGTCTTGTACAAAACTTAAACGAATTAAGTATAAGGTGTATGAACACCTCCCCAGATCATTCTGAACTCCCAGGACCTGAGAAAGGCCTAAAAACCTGGATTGGCCAATCAGGAAAAAGACATTTTGGCCCACTCTGAGCTTAACCTACCATAAAGCCTTGGGTACTCTGGCATAACAGACATGCTTTGCTTTGCTCTCTGAGTGAACCCAAAATGCCCCTTCCTGTGTCAGCAACTACAAGGCCAGATGAAGCTGATCAGAAGCATTCTTCTTTTTATAACTGCTGAGGGCCTGATGCCTTGAACCAGACACTACCTTAAATAATGGGACTTTTTCCTATTTTGGTATTTTATGGACACATGTTATGCTATGCTATGTTATGAAATATATATATATGTGTGTGTATATATGTATGCATGTATAGTCATGTTAATGATAAAAGAAACACAGACATCCTAGATCTATAATTTCAATTGACACTTTGACATTCTCTTATCTTACTGTATTTACAATCTATCCAATTAAGAAATCCCTTTATCATATTATGGTTAACACATATGTAGACTATAATTCTGGCTGACACAGGCATCCTGAGCAAGGAAGGGAGGGAGGGATGAGAGGGAATTACTCTGAAGATATAAATTTCTCTTTGTCTCTTTGTTCTTAGGCTCATTTTCTACAAAGAACTCCCATGCACATCTCTATATTCATGTTCCACCAGCTTTGACAGAAATAAACATGCACATGCAGCCTAATTTTGTTTGTCTTTCTTAGAACAAACTCAGTAATGGCTGACAGGTGAAAGTGCACTAAAAAGATAAAAATACAAAATTCTATAAGAAGAGGGAGAAATTACTTTTGTTCCTGTGGTGTTAGGGAAGACTTCTTAGAGCAAAAGGCAAGGAAGAGACAAATAGGAGAATCACTCAGAAAAAATGATAGTTAAGTCAAAAGGCCATATGGTGTAATGGAGTGAGCACTAATAATCAAGTCAGATTGTTTAAATTCAAATTCCAGCTCTACTACTCACTCCCTGAATGACCTTGGACAAATCACTTCATTTCATACCTCAGTGTTCTTATCTGTAAAAAGAGGGATTGGATGAAAATATATCTAAGGTTCCTTCTAGTTGTAGATCTCCACAAAGAGGAAGGCTTTGACTGGACCTTAGAAGAACTACATATAAATGTGCACTTACTGTTATTTTATTTACAGGGTCCCAAAGCTCAAGCAGGAATATGGTAGGCAGCACAAGATAGCAGAAAGGGTACAGGATGTATTGCCACTGTGTAACCCTGGACAAATCACTGACCCTCAGTTTCCTCATCCATAAAATGAGGAAAATTGTTAATTCCTTTGATTCTTAATGATTATCAAATGAGATGCGATACTGATGATAGAAAGTTCTCATATACCAAAATATTTCTAAACAGCACCTTTTGTGGTAGTAAGAAAAAAAAAAGAAAAATGTATTTCTATTGATAGGGAGGAGAATGGCCGAACAAATTGTGGTATATTGATGTAATGGAATATTATTGCTCCAGTAGGAATAACAAATATGAAGGACTGTGACGATTAAAAAGGTTTGAGAGACCTAGTTTCTGGGTAATTTAATCATTTATTAATAAGGCCAGCAGGTTATTAACAAAAATGATGGTCATTTGTCCATCTTTCTTAGACCAAAGACCTCTAGTGGTGGTGGGGACGCAGTTTATTTGCCCTTGAAGAGGAGGTGTTTCTGAAGGATGGCAATCAACTCAGATTGGTTAAGACAATGGGAGGTGTAGGCTATATTAAAATGAAGTTCTTAGGGTATGTGACTTAGATCATTCAAATCTTGGTCAAAGAGACATCAACTTCCATATCATCTATCTTGATAATAGGGAGAATCAACATTTTCCCACACCTGTCTGAGCAAATGCAATGAGTAGGAATACACTCACCATTAGCCCAAACTTAGAATTTCTTTTACTGTCTGATTAGATCTTGGCCTTGCTAAATCTTTAAGATAGATTTCCCACACTTGTTGATTTCTGGATGAGGAAGTAGAAAAGGGGAAAAAACTTTACTCCTAATACAATAGTTAATTATTAAACATGGGAGAAATATTCATTTCTCACATTTCCCCATTTGGTTCTAATTAAAAGATAAAATCTCAATGAATCACTAAGTGATATTATAAACACTTCATTAAGGGTTCTTAAGTATTGGGTTTATAATGGATAACATTGTAAGGGGAAAAGGGGAAGAAATTGATTTGATGCATTGACAAAACCAAAGGGGGCAGTTCCCTTTAGTAAGTAGACCTTACAGATAAAAGACAAAGGGAAAAGGTAAGACAGTAAAAAAATAAAATTGTCCATTTAAAACTCAGAAGTTTCATCTCATACAGCTGTCTGATTCTCAGGAATCCATCTGATGTTGCTCTCTGGTCTGAGTGTGGTCTCAAAACAGTTTCCTGCTGATTGTCTTCTTAGATTCAGGTCACTTGTAGAAATCCTCTTCTCTGCTAAATATTTCCTATAAAATTGGTCTTAACACAATTTTAATTTACTTTGCCAATAACCAGGTCAGATAATGAAAGCTAGCTTAAACCTTATGTCTATTACTAGAAAATAAAATTTGGAACCTTTTACACCAGGACAAGCAATTTACATTTTTAGGTTAGCCAATTATCATATTGATAAATCAAAGAAACTCATATACAAAAACAGGAAAATTAGAAACCAATTTTTATAGTTGGCATTATTCATTTCCCCATTAGGAGGATGAAATTCCACTAAGGAATTAATAACAGAACACTTTCTATAAGAAGACAGACTCTAATACAAAAACGAATTTATTTAAAAGTCTCCAGATTAACTAGAATGTAACAAAAGGTTCAGGGATGAGATACATAAATACATTGAGTAATCCATTTTAAAACAGTGCATAATCAAGTAAGTTATTTATAATAAAACATTTTCAACTTCTAGCCATGTTCAAATGAATAACTCCTAACAAAAATGTCTCTTTAAGGCATTTATAAGATAGAACACAAGGCATCCTTCTTCTAAGATAACTAATTATACTGATATTTCTGTCCTTAATACCAAACTGAGGGAGTTATGATATTCACTAAATGACAGAATCATTTCCTGGTTTCACAAATCTTTTACAAATCCCTATATGATTGTGAGAAATTATATAACTAATAGCAGATGACAAAGCTAGATACTTATTCACCTAGTTGTTTGGAATATAGACAGGACTAAAATTCTGGCCAAATAACTCAAATCTTACACCTCCATCTTATTCTAGTAGCTCAGATATTATCCAGTCTTAGCCTATAAGATAAAGATTTAATATTTTGTTCATACTTATCACCTGACATGATTATAGAAATTTGCCATAAAAGAAGAATAGGGACAAAAGGGAAAATGTTCCCTTATTTTGATGTCTATTCCAGGCAAACGTTATATAGATGCCAATTGCATCGAGCCAGGCTTAAAGTCAGCCAGGTGGGATATTTTCATTGGAGAAATTGAGTCAGGAGAATCCCACCTCAGCCTATGCCAAGAGTCGTTCTCCCAACCTTTTTTCCCCGAGAACTCCACCTACAATTCATGCATGTAAACCCCACAGGGTTGCTAGCATCATGGATCACTGGCTCAGTAGCATTTCTTGATGATCATGCCTGGAATCAGAATCAGAATAATATCAGTTAACAGTCCCATAAGGTCTTAGGTAGCAAGTTCCAATAATCAGAGCTTCAGGTGGGTTCAGCTCTCAAGGATCATATATCCTAGATAACAAGTATTGACTACAATCTCACATCGGTAACAGTAAGAGATTTATAATGAAAAATCACAACTTGATATAACTAATATTCAGGCTAATTAGGTGCTTTTTTTCATTCCTAAGTTCAACATTACCCAAATGATTTTGTCTTAATAACATGCTTAATAGCAAAAAAACAAGTCTTGGGATGTAAATATAAATATAAATGTAAAAAAAAATGTAAATATAAATCCTAAACTGTATTCAGAAACAGATTCTATATGAAACACTGTCTATAGTTAAACATGTACAGTTTAATGTTCAAATGGACAAGGACACAGATTACTGCTCTCAGAATCCCTTTAAACAATGGGAACTTCTTTAAGGTGATTCTTAAATAGTTTGCATGCATTTCTACACATGTTCTAATCCTAGATTAAATAACAAACATAAATAAAATCAGATTTCCCATTAAAGTGACACCAGATAGCTCATAAGTTACTACTCTTCACTAACATAATTGTAGTGAAATTCTATTCCTTAAAATAAAAACAAAAGAGATTCTGACTTTAACCTCACAACTTAATAGATTTACATCTTTGTAAGCTTGTTTACCTTTGTATGATTATACTCATATCATTCTGAAAGAATAAGATACTTCAGGAATTGAATCTGTCACAAATGACCAGTTCAAGCACTAATTTAATTCTTGCTGGCCATGGAATGACAAAAAATTCATATAAAAAAAGTAATATCTTTCCCACTTACAACTTATTACAGTAATTTAGATGCATTAGTATTAATCAAATACCTAATAGATCTAGTATTACAATGGAAAACTTCTACTTTGTGTACTCTAGTAATAGAAATTTGCTATGAGAGCTATAAGGACATGGTTATAATAGCAGCAAAACTGGTTGGTCCCTGGGGCCTACACCACTATAAGTAGCCTAGCATATGGAGCCAGGTAGACAGATTTCTTGTATGGGAATGTGCAACCTTTTCCAAGGTAACCTCTCTACCTTATTCCCGAGGATAGATATTTACTAGCCTTAGTGAATGCTCAGATGTTGCTTCCATTGAGCTGCTAACTTCTGACATTTTTCTAAAAGCACCCATTTAAGGACTGTCCCAGGACACAGCAAACCTAAGAATTAAACTTCAAAAAAGAATATTCAGGCTACCCGCCAAAAAAAGCTTCCTTCTCAAATAATAATCTCACTAATCATAGTAGATCAGGACATAATTGTTATCAATATTAAATTATTGCAATACATTAGCTTACAAATAAAATTTAGTAGGCCTTTTAAAAATCACACCAAACTTCTTTTTTTACAAAAGTTTTTTTTTATTTAAACATTCCTTCCTAAAAGTATTTCTCTTTACCAGCTTAAACTTTATCCTGATATTATAAAGATAATCATTAAATTTTAAGAAAGTTAATTAGTTGGAAACCACTAATCTTAGAGATATCTCTTTCTTATTCAACCTTAAAGCAAAAATAAATATTTGAAACTGGAATTTATCAAGACTAAGTTGCTGTAAAATATTTTTGAGTAACACACATAAATTCCCAAAGTACTACAACAAAATAAATTCCTAATCAGCACAAATTCCTAAGCACCACCCTCCTCTACTCAAAAAGGTATTTGTAATGTGGAGGATATTCAGTTTTTATAAGCCAAAAAGAACATACCCAATTAAATTAGCCTTAAAACAATAACAAAGTTTACTAGACCTTTAAATTTTTACTCAATATCTTTTTCTTCCTTTTGTCTTTAAATATATCACCAGAAATTAGGAAAAATTCTTACATTCTAGAATCCCACATAGTGAATATGTACAATAGTCCATTTAAACCCCTAGAAAAACAACACTGGCCAACTGCTATAAGCCTCCAAATTAACACATATATTAAAAATATCCTTAGATGAAGCAGGCTTGAAAATTGCACAGCCATTTTGTGCAAAGATTCCCATTTACTCAGCAGGAATTCCACAATATAGAACTCTTTCACAGGGTTGATAAGAATTTATGACTAAATGGTTCTAAGAATCCTTGTAGGTTTACAAAGGAGATTTTACAAGATCTTTTCTTTCCATCATTACCAATTTTCCTTTTAAAACACCTATGTGAATAGTTGATAGGTTTTAACATTATAACAATAACTCCAAATAGTTTGCTTAACAATCTCATAATTTTCATAAATGACAGCCAAATAATTTTAAGTGAACTTCTTAAATATAGGCAAAACATATAAGTTTACATAACTTCTTAAATTACAGTACTTCAGAATATTATAACACATGGTCAGCAGGGCTGACAGAATGACCTAACAGCTTTTTTTTTTGACAGTACAATTCTTACTCTAACAACATCTAGAAATTGCTGGTAGTTTTCTGGATCACACAATATAAGAAAATTTAGAAACATAACAATTTCCTAAACAGTGTTATGTATTTAAAAGTTGAAACAAAACCAATTAATTACCAATCAGGTAGTCTCAATTCAGGTAAATGCACTTCCAAATTACCTTACACAGCAAATCATTTATCTCATCAACATTGGCATTGTATACTGATCACATCTAAAAACCCACATAAAGTTATCAAATATGAGGCAATTATATCTAATTAAAGAGACAATAAAACAGTTAACATTAGTATAGCATTTGCCCTATGCCAAGCACTTTACAATCATGTTGTCCTCACAACTCAGGGAGGTGGTTTCTATTACTATCCCCTTATAGAACAGGAAACTGAGGTAAATAGAACTTTCTTGGGGCCATACAGCTAATACATTTCTTAATGTCAAATAACAAATATCTTTTCATGTTAAGTTTAATTTATCATACTCATAATCAGACCCCTTATTTTCTTTTCACAAAAGATGTTGGTTTAAATCAAATCAGCTCTAGATTTATAATTGCTAATGGTAACATTTTAATTTCTAAGGCTTGATATTCTTAGCACTTTAGAAGAAAAATATTATTATCCATAAATTCATATATTTTCTTTTTTTTTTAAAGATGTGGTGACAATTTCCAGCTCCATATAACCTTTTCCTCTACTTCCTTAAAGAGCAGGAGTCCCCTGCCTTCTTTACCTGTGAGACTCATCAGATAAAGAACTGCCCTAAGCATTCCAGCTCTCCATTACCATCCTCCAGGGAATTTCAAGCTACATATACTAGGAAATACATATCAAGTTTTACAAACAGTTTGAAATCACACCTCAGGTTAACTGAAAATGGGGCTGGGCTAAAATATCCCAAGATTCTAAGTTGTACTGATGCTTTTTTTTTTTTTTGGCCCAAGCAAAGAGACCTAAGGAATTTGATTTGATGCTGGCAGGGCAGGGCCAGTTTCCCCAGGCAGAAACCTTCAAGAGCTTCCACAGAGTTACTTAAATAGTTGAATTAAAATAATAACTAAATAATTGAACAGTACAAAGAAACATTTAAGATATTATATAATAATTACAAATCACAATAACCAGTCTTTACCATATCCAATATTTATGCAATGTTAGATTTAATAAGGCCTTCCTAAAGATTTACCCTGAAAGGTGGGTAGACATGATTAACCAGAAGATCTAAACTTACTCCTAGACTAAATCTGATTACAGACTGATTTCCAAAAATCTTTTCTTTTGCAATTTCTAGTTCTTAACTGAAGTCAAATCACTGCATTTTAATCACCTAAGCAGGGGGCTGGATCCTGAAATCTTAAAATACTGACACAATAACAGTTACTAATCTATTACTGATTTCTTT